AGCAGGAACTTGGGTCCAGGATTCAGGGAGAAGACAAAACTGCCCCTCTTGGCAGCCCACACTTCGGTCAGCTGAAATGGGCCCTGAAACTGCAGCTTAACACACGAATAGCAATGAGTGAACCACTTGGATTATTAAGGCAGGAGTCTAGAAAGCTTTTGTAGAATATATATATAAACATGCTTTTGTGTACTAGTGAGGTGCTGCAACCAAAGGACATTGAAACTAATGTGCCTTTATTCGATTCTTACAGTCATACCAAGAAGTCAAGTGCATAGCAAGTGAAGCTGGATAAACAGCAGGACGCTGACGTGCAGAACATTCATTATTAGCTATTTGCTCTTCACAGACTATCATTTACAGTGTTATCTTTATTTTTCAACAGCTGAAATCTCTGCAGGCTCATTATATTTAGTAGTCAGTTTTACTTAAATATACTCCAGGGATGACTTACATCCCTGAGATGATAGTCACATCAGAATTTCTGCAGCTTCTTTAATAAATTTTACTTGTAACATTTTAGCACATAACACCCGAAGTTCCAAAGAACATTCTGTAGCATACGCCTGTATCTACCCTCTATAAAAAAGACTGTACATCCCAGATACCAGAGAAATAACCCAGGCTTGGAAGCATATATTATTAACTGCTGCAACCTGCTCCCAGCTTTCTTGGTTTGTAGACAGAAAGCATGTCATCAAGTGCCCTGAATGATTATAGAGTAAAAGTGAGGTTATACTTTTTACAAGAAGGTAGGTGACACCACAGCCTAGTGTGCCCATATTGTACTGGGATGTGAAAGCCCTGGGTTTGCATCCAGTCTGTATCATTAATATGGTTTGTACTTTCAGCAGGTCAAGTGACTCACTTCCCTCTGCCTCAGTTTCTGTAAAAGAACACAGATACTGGCAGGAACAAAAATACAAATACCTTGTAACTTACAGACATAAAGTGTTATATATTCAATTATTTCCAGGGGAAAAGGAAATCTTGCTGCTCTAAGGCTTGCCCTGTTTTGCAGCATGCACTGTTTCCATTTGTACGGCCACAGCGCATTTTTTTGGCCTTCAACCATATCCTGATGTCCATTGCTCTTGGTCTTTCTATAAAACTTCAGGTAATGAATTGTAAAGTCCTCTTTACAAATCAATCCATTTGAGCCCTTAATAACGAAGGTCAGGCTGCCAAGACTGTTTTCATGAAGACAGGCAAACAGTCATTCTCCAGCTTCTTTGTCTTCTTGGCAATTCATGCCTACATTTTTTTTTCTCCTACATCCCCCTAATTTGTCAAAATCACTTACTTCTATACTGTCTAACTTTCCAATATAGTGATGGAACAAGAGGGGATTTCCTTAATTGTTGCTTTCAGTTCTCTCTCTTGAGTTTCCAAAGCCTCTTGTTTTCTGTAGTAGTTTTTCTGCCCCATCAACGTGTTGCCCTTCAGAGGTAGCAATAGTTTTGAGGGACACTTTTTTTATTGAGCATCTCCTTAGAAACACACAGTTTATATACTGAACGCGATGTCACCTGTCACAGACAAGAACCCACTAAACAGATCATTCAAAAGAGCTCTGCTGCACTGCAAGATTTTCAGAGAGAAAATTGCAGGAGACTGTACTTTAGAGTACCAGATGGGAAAAGCTTTGCAGATAGTTTTCTAAATCATGAGACTTTTAGATACCTGTATACTGGGTTCATCTTGACACCTACACTGCTGAGGTAGTGGAAGGGCCAGTAGTTGATTTAATGCAGAGTATTCTGTAGGACAGAGGAAGAGGGAAGAGCTTAGACCAGACAAGCAGCCTCCTCAAGGCTGGGGAGCCTGCAAGGTGGCTTGAGCCGTAATTCTGGAACTAACATAGCAGATGCCAGAAAGCTCCGACTAAACCATGGTGTGCCTTAAAAGAAGCTGCTTAAGAGCAGTTGCCATGGTGTGATGCAAGTCTCCTTGGGCAAAACTGAGGGACATAAAGAAAGCTGAGGAAAATGACCTGGAAACGTGTTTTTAGGGCTCGAGGTGAACAGAGGAACAGATGTGTGTCGGGCCTGGCATTTTGCTCGCCTTGGTGCAGGTCTAGTGAGTGTGATGCTTGTGACAAGCACAGAAAGCCACTTTTAGGACAGAAGCAGCAAATCTGTAAGCCAAATCTTTCTCTCCTTCTCCTAGCCTAACCCCCAAGTTTTTAATGTTGTTAAGGGTGCTTTTCAAAATGGTTTCCTTGCACGTAAGATAAAAGAAAATGCCCTGTAGGTAGATGATGACTCTTAGCATTATTAGTAAACAGCAATTAGTGGACACTGGAATATGCTGCGTAACAAGTTGCACCAACATGCCATAATAGCAGCAGAGAGATAGTATTATGAAATAGTAAACATAGTACTAGGTAAATCTCACCTCATCCGTCCATACATATTTATTATAGACCTCAGTTTTGAGAGGAACTACGATAGCTACTATATGCTCTATTTTTAATCACATAATATTTTAAGTTCATGAAACGTAGGTTAATTTTACCAGGCTAAGTAAAAGCAGAGTTTGCAGATGCAGCTCCATCCATACTGAGAGTGCTTTTGCCACCAGGGCATCACAGGGCTCGTTTATCAGTAAATCCTTATAGAGTCAACCTGCTCCCAAGGCAAATGACCCCCAGGCTTGCGGCATCCTCAGGCCTGGTCCAGCTTGGCAGCACACTGTGCTGGCTGGAGAATTCTTTGGAGTATCCAAATAACACCCGAGGGGCCACATTTCCAAGCCTGACTCCTACTTTTGCTCTTTCTTCCATGAGAAATAACGATTGAGAGACTGTCACCCAAGAAATTCCTCGACGCCTACGGAACACAAATCCCGGGTACCTGTGCCTGTACTCAACCTCCGGAAAGAGGAATCACTTAGTACATTTTACACACAGACATTTTCTTGGGGTATATACAACATCTGTTCCCTTTCTATTTTATTCTAAGACAGGCTGTGTAACTAACGCACTTAGCATAGAACTAAAATAATGAAAAAAAATCAGATCGGTCACCATCCTATCTTCTAGCCACAGACAACCCACTTCATACATCTGAGTTTTGCCACATGCAAAACTAAGATAGTAATAGCTGACTGCTCCAACAGGTGCTGTAGGAATCCATTAAGGATCCATTAAGGATCCAAAACCATCTTATGGTTTTACATCGTCATATTTATTAACGTTAATGATATGTTAATGTTCATTGATGATATGGATTCATCCTCAATAATTCCAGGCACTTCCCTGGTGCAGGGGCATGAGAAGACTAGTTAGGTTTCCATGCCCTCTCCAGAGAGCACATCAGTACCTGGAGGGGCTCACTGGCTTTTTGGAGGAGGAAGAAGCAGCAGCAGTTCTTCTGTGCTTGGGGGAAAATAGGACCTGTCTGTAGGCCAGGTATTTGTCCAGAAGGTTTTTTTTTTTTTTTTTTAAAGAAACACATGGCAATATGACATCAAGCAGAGCACATGTAATGCTCATGAATAATACATTTTAGTGGAAAAGAGGACAAATCCATAAACTGTATTAAAAAAGAAACTGAAAATG